CAGTTTATCTGTTAGCCTTTTTCTTTTAAAAGTACGTTCCGAGCTTAGATTTTTCGTCGCGGGTAAATTGTGTACTGTGAGATACTTTATCTGTTTTTGGTAATAAAGATCTCTCACGTTCGGTTCTATACTATTGATTGAAGAACATCACACTCATGGGCCATAGTCTTGGCGCGCATACAAGTGATTTTGCCGCTAAGCACTTCTAGGAATCGGGTTACGGTAAGATTCCGCTTTTCATAGACGCCGATCCCGCGGCTCCCTTATTCGAATTGAAAAATTGCGAGAAAAGATTTTGCAAAAAGGATGCCGAACGTGTAGTAGTTCTTCACACGTCAGCTTTCGCGGATTACAAATTTCTCTAGGTCATCTCGATTTGTGGTTTAATAACGGATTAGATCAACCAGCATGTGGTGGTAATTATTATTTAACTTAAAACTAAATTATTTAAGTAAAAATAATATTAAATAGAAAGTACTTATGAATAAAGTAAAAATAATTGTTTTAGTTTATACATAAGTACTTTCTATTTAATATTATTTTTAAACTTAAATAATTTAGTTTCAAGTTAAATAATAATTATCACCACATGCTGGTTGAACTAATCCGTTATTGAACCACAAATTGAGATGACCTAGAGATATTTGTAATCCGAAAGCCGACGTGTGAAGAGCTATTACACGTTCGGCATCCTTTTTGCAAAATCTGTTCTCGCAATTTTGCAATTCGAATAAAGGAACCGCGGGATCGGCGCCTATGAGAAGCGGAATCTTACCGTAACCCGATTTCTGGAAGTGCTTCGCGGCAAAACCACTTATATGCGCGCCAAGACTATGGCCCATGAGTGTGATGTTCTTCAATGGAACATGACATGTGTCGATCACTGATTCGTACATCATAAAAAATGATTAGTTTCATCAGAAGTTTTCAAAAAGTTTTTAGTTAGCAGTTTCTCAAAGACAATTTCAGTGGTCTTTTTTCTTTTTTGTTAACATCTGTCCACCAGCTGCACAGTTCAATCAAATTTCAATAGCCTAACAAAACATTTACAAAACTGTTAAGTCACGATGCTAACAAACAAATTTGTGACAATAGCTTTGAGCTGTATACATTCACTATCGCAGATGTATCATTTTATCTTTTCCAGTAAACGAATTAAAATATATATTTTTTTAATTTAAATGGATTGAAATCGATTGGCTTTTATGAAATGCATTCATTTCCACGAAAGCCAATTCATTTCTGTTTAATGGGTTGTTCAATATTTGGCAAACATAATAACGCAGGAATGATAAGATTTTAGCTCGAATATATAGTTGTTTCTATAATAAGTGTAGTAAGTCTTAAATTGTAAGAAATTGACCAATCACACAGTCGAATGTACACGAGAAAAGAACAGCCAATTCACAGTCAACCATCGCAGTTTGGCCGTTTTTGCATTTGGAGGGAATAGACTGCACATTTCAGTATACATATATTATATAATTCAATGAAATTCATAGTATATTATTTATTTCAATGTCTTGATAGGAATAAAGCTTTCACTTTCACATCGTGCGACTCGCAGCACCGGATATTGCTAAGATTACAGGGAGGTTACAGTCATAGTAGCTTAGTGAGAAGATTATTCGTGTTTACATATATAACACTAAATTTACACTGTAACCTTATATTATAATATTGTTGGAAGATCAATGGAATTTTATGTCAATACTTCAGCAACCTTACAAAATACCTTACATTAAAATATTGTTGGAAGATTAATGGATCTTCTTTAAAAATTGCAGTGCATTTTAATGTTTAATCGCGTCGACGTATATATAATACTTACATGATAATTTAATATTATAAAATTACACAGCATCTGATAATACGACATACAATGTAATATGATTCAACAGGAGAACTGCAGCTTTCCAAAGAAAAATTGAATTCTTTATTATGTAACACATTTTAAGCTACGCATGCTTACGCATGCTACAAATGCTTTGAAGCATTTGATTGATCAGTCAGAACAAGAATTTTACAAATTGACCAATCAGAAAATGCTTCAAAGTATTTGTAGCATCGATCTTGACCGTACGTACCCTTTGTCTCTCGTCGGGTTATGTTCCAAAGGGTGCTTTCCAATTGTAAAATCACTAGACACTTTTGTGCACACAGCGACACAAATTGTGTTCCAATTGCCATAATCATCGACACAACCCAACACATTCGTACTTAGCTCGAGGCTACTAGTCGGCTGTGTAAGCTTGTGTTTTCTAGTAATATTAATAATTTATGATGGCGGCTATAAATGAGGTTGGAGAACATGAAGTGATTGTTTATGTTTATTCGTTTTATTTAAAACCTGTCTCTTATACACAT